CTACAGGCCACACAGACATCCCGATCGAAGTCACATTCAGCTCCCTGACCGGCCGCCTCTCCCTCATCCCTGTATACTCCTGTCCGTACCTGGGCCATTATTCTACAAGTAAGTGCTCGCCCCCTCCCCGTCATACATGGTTGCAGAACGATCTTCCTGCCACGACCCCGCTCCGTGACTTGTCAAGTCCCTCTCGCTGTCGACGCACAGTTCGCTGCCAATGCGAACGTACTAAATTGGGGAGGACCGCCCGCTAGACTGCGGGAGTATGCGTTGCCTCTTAAATAGGGGGAAAAACGGCCTCCTACGATCGTAGGATATGTAAAAACAAAGATAAAAAATAAAAAAATAAAAATTGTAATAAACTTTTCGTTCGAACGTGGGAATATACACCGCTGCCCTTCAGGTACGTACTTCGTTCGTTCTTCTCTACCCTGGTTCGAACCCCCCCCCTTCCTTTTTCGTTACCTCCTATCAACAAGATGAGCAAATTGGGAATGAATCTTTCGCTAAAGCGTGGACAGGTGCAGCCGCCCGGTGCCAACCCCGCTGCGTTCGCGCAACCTTTCTCCCTTCCAGCTCCTTACCTGCTAACCTACCGCTAAAACCGATGCCAGATCTCGATTCAACCGGGGGTAAAACCCCGGAATCAAATCTCTTTCTGCCCGTTTTCGTCAAGGAACGGGCAGGATCGACGTTTTCCCACTCCTTCTCATTTGCTTCCCCCCATAGCCATGGCGCACTGTTTTCCTCATCTACCTCCACCTCCACTAACTCTCCGTTATATCTAACCTGGGATTCGGATTCGCCCCTCACAGAAACCTTCACCTATTTACCTCCTCCCATCCGATTCCGCCGTCTTTCGGTTAGTTGTCTCGACTCTCCGCTTCTCTCTCACCTCTCTCCTCCATAGCCACTGCGCAGGCTTTTCTCTACTAATCTCCCTCTACGCTAATCTAGCACTAAAACTAACCTCATTAACGTACTCGCCCTATATAAAAACGCCTATATAGGCTCTTTCCCCGCCCAAATCCATGAAGTATCGCGTTCACCATCGTTTTCTTCTCTGCGCCCGAATCTCTCTTCCGCCATCCCATTTCCCGCATGCACCTGGCGCAATACCCAGCAAAGTTCGTTTCATTATTTTCCCTTCCTCTGTTCCTTCTTTCTACACCTACTACCTCATCTCCCGGCTCTCCGCCCAACCGTGCGCTACCTCAGGTCTCAGGATCATTGTCTTCTTCCGACGGCCTTCTTTCCCGTAATCACCCTCACTGTCGAAAGTACTCGGCGCAATATCGCGCCCGGGTTCATCCAACTCCCTCTGCCTTGCTTTCGGTCGGCCCGTCAGCTGCGCTATCACTCCGTCTCTCAGCCGGGTTGACGTCACCCCGGCGCCTCAAACGCGGTACGGTCCGACAGTCAGTCAAATGCCAAAGTGCAAAATGCGCCTGGCTGTCAGGCTTCCTCCGCTATATCCGTATCGTCCTTGCGCAGGGGCCATGCTAATCTTCTGTGTATCGCTCCAATTTAGACGGATGTCCCGTAGGACCCGACCGGAGCAGCGCTCCCACGGCAACCCCGTAGCCACAACCGCTGCGGTGCCACTTTAACAGATGCCCCCGGCCGCAGTAACACCCCGCCGTAGAGCGTTGCTCGACCACGCCTGTCGGCCTAAGGGAAACTTCGGAATGAGCCAGCTACTAGACGGTTCGATTAGTCTTTCGCCCCTATACTTAAGTCCCTACGAGGGGACTGCATGGTAGTGCTACAGCCACCCCTGCCGTAAATACCCCTGGCTTACCGCGCACACTCGGACCGCCGTGCCCATCACGCCCGCTGCCAATTTCCGATCATCCGGGTTTGAACTCGGGTTTGTATTTCAACAGTTCATGGGTGTACCCACTGAGCTAAAGACTCTTGGGTGCCTGCTGCACCTACAGTACCGTGCTCCGGGCCAAAACGGGGCCGCGCATAACAATAAAGGAAAAACAAATAGATAAATAAATAAAAACCAAAAAATAAAAGATATAAAATATCATAAATAAGGGCCCCTATGCACAGTACGGGGACTGCTAAAGCCCCACCGGTCCTGTGGATCGGCCCCGCCGCTACGTCTGTCAACAAAAACCAGAGGGGGATAGCCCGTCGACCCTCAACCCCTCAGTTTTCTCCGCACGCTCCGCTGCAGTTGGTGCGCCGACGCCCGCCGACCTCGACCCCAGAACCTCCGTATCAATAGTCCGATGCCGTAACCTATAGGGCTAAACCTGAGACCAAAACACGCCGAATGTCATATAAAGCGGTGCCGCGCGGCGCTTAGGACCAATAAAATGGTTGCGCGACTCTCAGTGCCCGCACCGGTTCGCTTATACGGTGCCATAATCGCCCTGCGCGCCATCCTACGACACCCTGCTCACCACACGAAGTCGAGCCGCCTTTGTCGATGCCGTCGTTGAGGTCGTTCTCCACACGCGGGCTCGACTCGGTCAAACGTAGCCATCAAAGAAAAATATCTCATAGTTCCTGCTTAATCAAAAACAAATAAATATCAACAATATAAAAAAAAATGACCGACGCCCCGCGTCGGCCTTACGATCAACAACAGAAAAGAATCACGCGGGCCTTAATCCTGCGCGCCCACGCACTCTGTACTCTAGTCAACCATTAGTCATATAAACTGCTGTGACTCGCGTGGCATACTCAAACTTCTTAAATCTATTTTCTGTCACTTGCAAAAAACCAGGGCGGATANCTATTTTCTGTCACTTGCAAAAAACCAGGGCGGATACCCTTGTAAGGGTATTCGCACCGACAGCTTACCGGACCATATTAAGCGACGTCCCCGTCGCTTCGCCAAATCAGAAAGCTATAAATCCATCCATATTCCAAATGTTGACGAAACAAGAGCCAATCCGATTAGCCGACAAACACAAGGTAGGGGCCTCCATCAAACCATGCCTTCACAACTATATGCTGCCAGGTTTCTAACCTGAGCCTCTCACCGTCCAGAAATTAGGATACTGGCAGCATAAGTTCCAAAGACCTTTCCAATCGTCCTCTCCCCGGTCCTAGACAACCTTCGTCTTTTCGTTGGGTGTCCCCAGTCCAAGCAAAAACTAGGGACGCGGGCCTTAATCGAGACATTTGGAGGACACTCTCGTCTTCCTCCTCAAAAAAATTCTCGCAATCAAATACATGCAAGTATATATGTATACTTAATATTCGCTCAGCTCTTTCTGCAGTCTAGTACAGAAAGGCTAGGTCTCCACCTCGGCCTACCATAGCCTGGCTGATCGGACCAGGATCACAGCCCACCGCATTGTTATTTAACAGCAGTACCTTCGTTGGTTATGCAACGATTGGTTTCTTCCTGGTAAGCACTCAATCAGGATTTCCCCAAAAAAATTATCAATCTTCATTATCCTGCGGAGTAATTTCACTGGGGCGGGCACCCCCCCCTAAACTCTTACCCCGCGGTCTCGCAGCCAGGTTGCGCCGGCTAGCAGCCATCCAATGGGGTTACGCCTTAGAGGTACTAACTTCTTTTCCGTTAGCTTGGCCTTTCTTCAATATGTCTCAGAATTAGCACTAGTGGTTAGACGGGGGCGTCGCAAAACAAAATCACTGGCCCACTGCGCGATCACGCAGGGGTCTGAAGGCATTTACCAGCCCTTCCACAATAGGCATGACATTCCTCGCACGCTCACAAACAAAATCACCGCTAGGTCCACCTGGCCGTGACCCCTGACTTGATCAGAGCCAGCAACCACCTACTCTGAAACATCTCTTGCCCTGCACTCATTGCGACTTTCTCAATCATTCCAAACAAAAGTAACTCTTTTCGTCAAACTTTTATCACCCATTAAACAACTCGCCATGCCATAAATCAGTTTACTTACCTCTGAGGGTGAGTCTTCCAACCATAGACCATTCAAATTTTCCAAAAATCCAAGGGGCTCTCATCATAAACAAAACACCCCATTTTCCAAAAATCACGAGGGGTCTCGCCATAAAACTAAACTTCCCCTCCTCAAAACTCAAGGGGATCTCATCATAACACACAACATCATAAAATATCCCCTTCCCAAAAATCCAAAACAAAACATCACTGAGGGACCATCTTATGGG